CCAATATGGTCACATCCACAAGCAGCGGGGAAACACCCTCGCTACGAAGCAGCAGGACCACACTCTGGGCAAGGATCGACTCGTCGCCTGGCTGGTGTCGGACTGCCACACGCACAGCAAGCGCGAACAGTTCGTGAAGGTATGCTAGTTTCATCGACTGCGAGAGAAACACCCACGCCCACAGTGTCCTACACCAGGGTTACGCTTCAGTAGCAGACCAGATCAGACAAAACAGATTTCTGTAGCCCAACACACTCATCCTTATCTCACTCCAAGTTCAATGTCATCAGACTTTAACTTGAACCAACAACATTTTCATAAACATGTTTGGCCACTCAGGAATAACTCTCTAAAAAAAACTTATAGAAAGTCGAGAAATGGAAAATGTTTGGCGAATCTTGAGCTGAATGGGGTTGTTTTCACTGTAACAGGCCATCTGCATCGCCCACACTTGATCACTGCAAGGTTTCAACAACGAATGCTTATTGTTTATATGTGTTCGTATATGTATATGCACAGGCTCTCCAGCGGTACATCACTGTGGACGTGTACGGTCGCTGCGGCAACCTGACATGTGAGAGGAGCGCTCGCTGCATGCAGATGCTGCAGCGGCGATACAAGTTCTTCCTCAGCTTCGAGAACAGCTTCTGTCGCGACTACGTCACCGAGAAGCTTTACAAGGCGCTGCAGCAGCATCTCGTTGTCGTGGTGATGGGCGGTGGCGACTACGCTCGCCTCGTTCCGCCCCAGTCTGTCATAGACGCACTTGCGTTTCCCTCTGCACGCCACCTAGCAGACTACCTGAAGCATCTAGACACACACACTGCCGAGTACAACAGGTAGGTTTATCGGTGTCACAAACTGTGTCAATTTGTGTAGTAAGATCTGTAAGTTGCTGTAGTAACTGTTTATGTGCATGCCCCAACAGCACATCTTGTCCATCCATATACATATTTAGTCTCCTTCATCCAGGACGGTGACTTTTTCTCGATTGTTTGAGTGATGTTTAGCTATATATGCCCTTTTGTTTTAACTGTATATGCCACGAAATGAATATAAAGTTACTATTATTTATACAACGATGTATAATTGCAGATACTTCGACTGGAAACCCCACTACAGAGTCGAAATGTGGAACACAATAGGCTTCTGCCAACTGTGTCAAAAACTGCACGATCGTAATGAACCAGCGAAAACCTACGCAGACATTTACTCGTGGTACTTCAGAGATGCGTGTTCCATGGGAGCGTGGAGTGAAGATGGCCAGTGGACAGGGACGAAGCATCCATACAGGTTGTTTAATGCGTCAGCGTAGACAGCTGTCACTGAGCTGGCAAACGTTAGCACGCATCATCTCTACTACAAAATAATTTGTAAAATAGCAACTTTTGCTATAAAAAATGCACTTCCTGTAGCAAAGGTGGGGGTGAGATTCATTCCAGAAATCGGCAGCTATTAACAGCAAATTAATTTCATTTGCTCAAGGTTTATTATTTTTCTAGGCATTTATTAGAACATGAAGAACGAAATGCTTTTAAAAGGATGTAGTTAGATGTATTGTCTAACACATTTTTCATTGCTAACGATGATTAATATTATGTAACCCCTTTTGTGTTGTACATTGTAAAAGTATAGTGTACATGGTGGGATATTGGAAATTTGGTCATCAGTGAGCAGTCCTGAGTATACCAATAGAAACTAAAAAGATCTAAAAATATGTATGAGGGATTGTACCGAGCTGAAGTAATTCAGGTAACCTATTGACACAATTATAATATGACAAAATAACATTATGTTCATTGTTATGATTAATAATCACAACACTTCAATCAGAGCAGTATATAGAGTAGTCTGATTTATAACCAGAGTAAAAATAGTCCCCTGGTCTGTGCTAATGCGGAAACAAAAAGCTGAGGCTACCCAACTATACATGTTGCATTGCATTTTGTGATGCTTATTTTGTGTCACAGATCTATCTACAAACACGTGGTTTTATATAATATATAGATTTCCAGTGCCATATATAACTGTAGTAACGTATGATTGACATGGCAGAATAACAAACCACCGAACTACGACCCATTCTGATGCAGTCATGAAATGCCACGTGGCATTGTAAGTAATTAATATCCAACGTGCCTACTGATCTTTTCACCGATTCTTTCTATGTGGGTGTGTTGTATCAGACTGGTACCGCCAGTTTACAAGGATATGAACTATACATTTTCTTATTATGTTAGTTAACACGACTGTCAACAAAGATATAAGTGCTAGAGAAACAACTTCGACTATGTCAATATCCATGTAAACACAATATAGCACGCGCCTCCAATAAACGTGCCCCCGAACGGCATAGATAACCTGTTCAAGTCAGACTATTCAGCAGTGTATATCACACCTGGCAACTTACGAAATCATCAACCAAAAAAAACGAATATTCAAATAAATTAGAATGCGACTCAAACACAGCGCTAAAGACCAATAAATTCGGTCGCTATATTTCATGCATTTGATAGCGTGCAATCAAAGCTTAGAAGCCACACCCATGCGTCCGCATGCCATTCGAGTTATCAGCACGTGGTATCTTAGACACAGAGGGAGAACCTATGCTCCCAAGTAAGCCCCGTGAAGTGCACTGCGGCTGCACCGCCTCCAGTTCTACAAGCTAAGCGGGTGGGGACTGCATGCCAGGGGTTAACGACCACTCAGACGCGCCGCCATGAGCAGTTAGTATAGCACCGGTTACCTCTGGTCGACGGTGAACAATATTCACTGTCAGTGTCACCATCCAAAATATGCGACTACACTACGTACGGTCTCACATCTAGGATTTGCCTTTCGTGGACAGGATTTATTTGCTGCGAAATTACATTATTTCCATAATAGAAATATAATAATTAATTGAGAGAGTATACATAAGTACATTCACCAGCCAATAAGCATTACAGCACGTTTAACTAATATTTTGCAGTCATGCACACATGCCGTAATTGGAAAAGATAGTATTGGTTACTTTTGTCAGAGACCTACCTGCCATCAGGATAAAACATTATGACTGTATGAAACCACACTAGCATATGTTCTATTCTGTAGCTAGCCACCTAACCTATGCCAGTCTATTATCTGTATGCACCTATAATACTCGCGTGTAGAAAAATCGGTCATAGGAAAACTGATCAAACGGAAAATTGGTCACTAGAAAATTGATCACAAATAATTAACCCTGGTACACTACTGTTCCTCCTTCTCTTCCACCCTTTCCCTCCCTCATATACCCTCCCCTCCATCTTATACCTCCTTTCCTCCTCTTCTTCACCTTCTCTCACTCCTCCACCTTTTGCCTCCTTCCTCCTATACAACCTCCTTCCCCCTTCTCCATTTTCCTCTCTTTTCGTATTTTACCAGCCTCCTCTCCCACCTCCTCTACCTCTCCCATATTCTCCACTAAACCCTCACTTATTCTCCTATACCAACTTCTTTCATCATCTACTCGCCATGCTCCTGCTCCTCCTCTTCCTCCACATCATTGTTCCTTTTCCACTTTACCACTTTTTCCCCCTCCTCCCGCTGCTTCACTTGCTCTGCCTTTCCTTCCCCATCCTTCTACTATTTGTGTCCTGTGACCAATTTTCCGGATACTCCATCACCGCCGTCATCCCTGGATAACACATGCCTGTTACTGTATGCACGGTGAAAGCACCCTGTTACATACACCTTTAGCAAAAGCCAAGCTCCCGTAATACTGCAGCGGGTTAGCGAAAAAGATGTGCTTACACGGAATAATTCTTGTAGTGAAAATCCATGTTAATCAGCTCGGCGTAGTATGCAAATAACAGGTTAAACACACACAAAAAAGTTATTAGATCAGAGAATAAAACGGACAAATTCACTCTACGGATGCAGTGAGAAGAAACACTACATTAATTATTAATTTTGAAGACAGTGAATGCTATCATGAGTAAAGATATATGTCTATAATTGGTAAAACAGATAACTAATCAAAGTGACATCACATTAGCTATAAAAATTGAAAAAAAATCAATACTAAAGAAATAATTAGATGTAACAGGAACAAGATAAGATGAGATATAATATATGCATCAATTACAACAAATACTACATTACTAGAAGAACCTGAATGAACGAGAACGAGATCATAAATTACAACAAACGTGCTACTATATCACACAGTATAAATAACATCAAGAGTACATAATAGAGAAGAGTATGACACCGTTTTGCATAGTTTTCAACTTGTAAATATTCTATCAATATGTGAATAAATATATTCAAACTTTACCTTGTTTTCGTCTATGATTCTCCCTTAATCATATGACACCACCAATTTACCTGAAAATCGTATGTGTTCTTCAAAAAAGCTCTTGGTTTCACACAGTTTTCCCCAAACTTTTGCATCTCCGCGGCCAAACTTTGTTATCGGATTAGTGTTCTATTGTCTCTGACGGGACGCTGGGGGCTGTTGAGAATATTAGGCATCAAATGGTATTCAGTGTGTATTGCGTTTCCAGCGTGCTAAAAATAAATGTGTGCTCACGGCGAGCTAGCAGCTGATTTGAGCTGTGTTGCCATCATGTTCCTGATGATAAGGAAGCGAAACAAGTGCTGTTACTGTGCTTACCTAATATCCCCAACAGCCCCCAGTGTCCCGTAGTTACAACCTGGTGCTGCCGCCGCTATATCAAGTTTGGCCGCGAAGATGCAAAAGTTTGGGAAAACTGTGTGAAACTGTGTCGTATTCAAAGAACTTTTTTGAAGAACACATACGAATTTCAGGTAAATTGGTGGTGTCATATGATTAAGGGAGAATCATAGATGAAAACAAGGTAAAGTTTGAATATATTTATTCACATATTGATAGAATATTTACAAGTTGCACCCAACTATGCAAGACGCTGTTAAAACGGGGTCATACTCTTCTCTATTATGTACTCTTGATAACATGTTAGTTTGTTATGCTACCAACAGGTGGAGTGACTTACTGAGTTCCTTGGTGTCGTCCCAAACAACTGGTACGTTGGTTTCTGGCTGGTCTGACTCTAACCATGCCTGGAAATCTGGGTTGGAGGTCACAGATTTCTGCATGCCACTGAACATGGGTATCTTGCTCAGCCTCAGCACAGCATCCACCTGCAAGTAGTGACAATCTCAGTGCCATCAACCACGTGCAAATATGCCTGCGACAGAGAAGCAGATACGTGCGCAGGTGTGAGGTCATGAGAGGACATACCTGCTCAGGTGTGAGGTTGTGTTAGGAGAGAAGGACATACCTGCTCATCTGAGAGGTTGTGTTAGGAGAGAAGGACATACCTGCTCAGGTGTGAGGTTGTGTTAGGAGAGAAGGACATACCTGCTCATCTGTGAGGTTGTGTTAGGAGAGAATG